ATATACACACACACACACACACACATACATATATATATATGTGTGTGTGTGTGTGTGTGTGTGTGTGTGTACATACACATAAACACAGATTTTGGAAGGAGGAACAAATTGCTTGACAGAAAGCATGTATGCATCATTTGTGTACATGGGCTGGGAGGTTGGTGCAGTGGTTTTGTTACATGACTTTGGTTGGAAGATCGGGGGTTAGGGGTTCAAATCCTGGTGCAAAAATTTAAGCAACCTTGGCTACATAATAAGTGAGAGACATGGTACTGATGCCACGTCGGTTCATATTTTGCCTGGATTAACAAGTTCCACGTCAGATGTTTGGAAATCTAGAACTACTGGAACAAGACATGCATGGACCAGAGCAGAGAACTCAACACTGTTGGAATGTTACTATGTGAGCAAGCCTAGAGAGAGGGGCTAACTGGGAAGAATGTGGAAACTTTCATAGCCAACACTCAGATTGACTCAGAAACAACTTCGGACCCAGTGGTCCAACATATGAAAGAGAAATCTCCCATCACACCTAGAGATTGATGAGGTACGACAAAGAAGCTAAAGCAAAGAGAAGCCAGGACGACAGGTCAGGCAGGATCAACCATCAGTCCCACAATCAGAGTGTGGGTACCAAGCCCCGATGAAAAGTCCTGAGGAACTGAATACAAGGGCAGCTAACCTGAGAATGAAGCTTGTGACCAAGCTACCTATAACCTGCACTCCTTGCCAAGGCTAAGTGCACCCACAGTACACTCTGAAAGTCTGCTAGAAGATGTGAACGCAGCATTGGTAAGTATCCCAACTGACACCATAACAGAGACCAGTAAACTGATACACTGTACACCTCAGCAACAGTGGTCCATGAAATACCTCTAAGACCAAGCCTAAAACTAACTGAAAGCATGGTCTTCATGAAGGAAGAGGCTGGAAGCTAAGACCAAGGCAAGAGAGCAGCCAGATGTCAGAGCGTCATGTAAATACTATATAAATACTAAAATTTGATCATATCTAGGGCTCCAGAGACAGCTCAGTAATGCCTCAAAGTACTGGATGCACACCTGAGGAAGTACATTTAAGAAGCCAGGAGAATAAGCAGGGTATTCTCAACTACAACATCTAGAGTGGACTCTAAATAAGAGAAGATCCACCAAGAGCTGAGACTGAGCAATACTGGAGAACCATATGGGAGGTGGAGGCATCCTACAATCATAATGCTCCATGGCTACAAGATCCAAGATCTGAACAAGGCCCAGTATCCAACACAGTGGCAGACATCCAGGACAGTCTCAGGAATGAAGAACTGGGCTGCAGCTCTCCATAAACACCTAGAAGCACCAATAAACCAGCTGCTGATAGGAGGGACCCGCCCAGAGTGGTTGACCAGCAGAGAATCCCAACATTGAAAGCAGCAGAAAGGTTAGGCACAACGAGCCCGACAGCCGTCAGTGGATCTGGCTGACTTCACAGGAAGATGCATGGTCCATGAGATCATAGACCTCATTAACGTGATTTGACCAAAACAACTAGAGCGTTGTCATTTCTCCCAGTCGTTCCTGTTCATTTTGAACACAGAGCCTGTGATGCTCCTGCTGTGAACTGGCACCAGACTGGACTGCTTTCATGACGTCTGCACAGAATCGTGTCGGCAGGAGTTTCTAAGGCAACAAAAACAAAGAAGAAGTGCATGGTCAGCTCCTGCTGGAGGACCGTTGGGACTTTCTTCAGAAAAGATGATGAGTTGAAGGAACTCTTCCTCATTTCGTTGTGTTGCAACAGATTATTGAAGAGGACAGTATGTGGAAGAAGTGACCAGTGAGGTGTTTCACAACAGCTCGTGTGGCTTACCAAACACGACGCACCGACCTCTGATGTCTACAGCCACGCTGAAGCAACTAATGTTCTTCATGCATAAATAACTGTGGTAAACTAGTGCCGTGACAAATGAGGATTAATAAACTTGTTCTCCAAATACAGAAGAGTCCAGATGTTCTGAAAGAACCACAAGAAGTCGTACAAACAGATTTCAAGCATGTTTCTGTAAAACTGTTCGCACGGTTTATGCTTCTGATTATTTTCCTTCATGAATCTCACAGAACACGTAAAATCACATCAGTCGTGTTGAGACAAATGTTTTCAACAACGAGGCAAACCTGCACGTGAGTGCAGAAGTTAAAATAATTTCTGAATATGTGAACATCATTTTCACACAAGTTCGTTGGAGGCTCCATGACTTTGATTCAACAATCATCTTAGTACGCATCACAGTTACATACACTTCATCTTTTCAGAGACGTCTCCAAAAAGATTTAAAAAGGAAAACAGAAAAACTGGACATGTGCTCTGCACCTCAAGACGTTTCTTCTCCCGTCCGGAGAAGTTTCTCAGTTCAAAACTGGAGATTGTGGAGTTTCAAGCATTAAACTGAAGGACATGCTCCTTTAACGCGACGCCACAGCACGGCCGCACTGATGGGAGCTCCGCTTCGACTCCATCTTTTATTTG